AACAGTGGTTTCATACATCCAGAACAACTTCCATTCAAACAGATTCAAAATGCTTGGTGGGGAGGATGACGCCCAACTCTGCAATGCTGATTCACACATCAAATTATTTTAGTCTATATTACAGGAAATTGTGCCATTAAATCAATGCAATACACCTCCAAAAACAGATGACAGATGCAACTACTACAGAGAGAGAAGCATATCTGGTATCTGATATGCAAATGGCTATCTTTATTTCCATACTGATGTAAGAAAGGAGCTGCAACATAACATCATAGCGGTAGGAAAATGAATGAATAAGTATTATTTCAGTACCCTCAGCACAAACACCTTACTGGAGAATGGACACATCTTTGTGCATAAGAGGCAATATATAATCATGCTGAACTAAAAGTAAAAATACTAATCCATACATCTGGAGAGTTAAAATTCCTGTTAAGTTAATAATGTTTGTAATAATTGTGCTTACTAAGAAGAAAAGAAAAAGAAAGACAGATATCCTTATTGAAATCCAGGCAGGTGAGCACTAAGTTATTAAAAGTTTGGCAACACATTCTTCTTCTAGTTACACACTGAATATCTACACAGGATTTCTAATTTAAAGGAGAGCGTTAACAACAAGGACTTAGATAATGAAAAACAGAAAAAAGTTCATGGGTCCTTCAAAAGGAACAGCTGCTTTCCCCCACCATTGCCAAAGTCAATCCACAGAACAGCTACGTGCAGAGAATTAGTGATAAGCATACAACGCAAACCTGACCGACTACCACATCACTACTACACAAAGACCGATTCATACGGTAGCCCCTTAGCTACGGTTTATGGATTGCAAACAAAATATTTTCATAAGCAAAGAATGTTAAAAATTCACATAAGTAATTATCTAGTTATGCTGCTATTAAAGGCACCAACAACAGAAACGGACGTTTTATATCAATAATAAAATCTATCATAATGAGAATTTTTTGTGTAGCTAGGAGAATTCTTGGGTGAAGGGAGGGCAAGGAAAGAAGGGGGTTGTGGAAACATCCCCAAAATGAAAGCCCAAATGAAAGACAGCAACTACTCTGTGCTTGACCCAAACCCCTTTGAAGTTAACAGGATGTCTTCGATTAAACTGCAAGGAACTTTGCATCAGGCCCCTTCTAAGGCTTACTACATTTTCTAAGGTTAAATGCAAGGAGAATACAAAGGTTTTGATTTTTATCTCTTTTCCATTACAAAATATATATTTTTAATAAATTAAAGCCAGGCTCAAAAACATATATGTTTCAGAACATCAGCTAAAATAGAAAGTTCTCCTTTTTTTGAAAAGTAGAAAATACAGATACAGTTGTCTTCCTGGATGCAGCTTCTCTTTTCAGTTACTGATGAAACTGATATTGTGGATTGATATACAGCCTAATCTCAAGCCACCGCTTCTACAGTTTAACAAGCTGGTGAGATGAATCTGAGAACTGTTACTTTGATGACAGGACTTAAACATTCCTTTTAAAAGTAGTAAAGGTAATATGTAATCAGGCCTGTAACGTCAGCTTCCTGGAGAAACTCCCACTTGAAATTATGTTAACAGAACCTAGCTTCTGTTGGTTTGCTTAAATTTTTTTCTTTTGTAATGTTTGTAATATATGAGGCAATGTAGAGAAAGCTTTATCTTTCTGTTGTTCCTGTCAGTTCTTTTTGCCCATACATCTTTATTTCATTCTCCTGCCCTTCTCGCCCAGTGATTTCTCCAGTCCCTCACCAGAGGCCCAGCGAATTCACAAAAGAGTTTGGTAGCTGAGGCAGTGTTTTCTCAAGTGTGAAACAGTAGCACTCTCATCTGATAAGTCACAAAAAAACTCTTTTTTTACTGCTGGTTCGCAACCCCCTGAGTTGCTCCCAAACTCCTAAGAGCAAAAAGGTCTCTTGGAACTAACCATGGATTGCATCTCTGGTCTACCAGAAATTTTTCAACACATTCAGAAATTGTGTTTTTTAATAATCTTAAGACTCAGTGGGATGTTACACAGCCCTAAAACTTCAAGCATCACAGTATACTCAAAATCTGCTGTGCAGAATCCTCTGCTCTACAGGTAAATATCTGCAAAGCTTCAAATCTGATAGGATCAGAGAAAGCTGAAAGTAGGTGCTCTTACTTCAAGGACCACAGAACAGAGCTCAGAGCAAAAAGGGAAAGCTATGGTACTGAAATATATAAAGATATCTGGAAGCAATACAGGAAAAAAATTAAACCAGATACTACAGTAAATTAATCACTTATTGCTGTCACTATTGGACAGTGGGACGAGGCAACAGAAGCAACTACAGTAAAGATGGAAGTGTTCACAAACAGAGCCGTGTCTGTCTGGGCAGAGACAATACAGATGATGCATATAGTTTCTTCTATACCAGAAAAATGCAACCAATATTAACTATCTAATCTGTCTACCTTAAACCTATATTAACAGGAGGTTGAAGGCAACAGTTAAGACCTTTGTCAGTTCCTAAGTCAACCCCCTACTTGTAATGAACTGCATTTTCATGACTTGCTAAACACTTAGCACAATTTTACTGTACTTGATTGAAACATATGCAAACTCTGAATAGGAAAGTATGCTTATTTTACTCTGAAAAAACACATGGGAAAACATGGTAATGGAACCTAAAATCTCAGCAGGAATTAAACAAATATCTTGACTACATGTCCACTATGCAAAACTAATATTCAGCATTCCAGAGTGAATTAAAAGCAGATTGCCTTTTATCAATGAAAACAAACCTATTCCGAAAAGGAAAATAGCCACAGGATGTTTTGCTTCAAATATTCTGAAAGTCAAGTTAATGAAAAGGTAAACAGTGGGTTCTGAATTTCATGTGACCTACAGAACACTCCTGGGGGTAGAAAGCCACCTCATAGTTAGCAATAATAATACAAAACTGTGGGAAAAGCAGGAGTAACACACTGGAGAGTTAAATTTTGTCAAAGCAAGATTTAGTAGTGATACCTTCTTTATTTGGGGGTATGCTATAGCCAAACAACTGCAAGCAATAAGGTTATGATGGCTTAGCCATCACTTTTCAACACAACTGCAATAATTGCTTGTACACGTTCTCATCCTGCAGTGAGGTAAAACCCCTCTGCAGGTTTAAACCAACCTCAGCATGCATCCAAACACTTGTTTTGAAACAGGAGACTTACTCATTACAAGGCACAGCTGAAAGTAATGGAAATAACCACAATACTAAAAACTAAAACAACAATTTCATGAAAACACCTGTATCGTCTGCTTTCAAGCATTATGACTAAGTAAAAGCCTACATCATGTAAATACGAAAATGATAAAGTCAACCAGGACTATGAAATCATGAAGCCAATTATTTGGGAAAAACCAGCATACCCAAGGCTAAGGAAATTGCACAGCATTTACCTACATTTTTTCTTCATCTATATCTGAGAAAAGTCTAGGAAAAGAAATGAATAGACAAAAGAAACCGGTAATATTAATAATATTCCTTGTGCATCTTAGGCAATAAAATCATCCTCTTGGGCAATAAAACGGCAACTCCTTTTAAAACTATGGCATCAGCTATTTCATTCTGGGGCTTCTATACCTTTCAAGAAGGCAATCTACATAAATGTGATACTTTTGAATCTTTAGCAGAAGGCATCTCCCACAGTAGCAGATGCCTCACTGTTTGAATTTGAGCATCCTTTTTGAAGTGTGAACTGTTCCTCCAGGTGTCCTCACACATCTAGAACCTTGTCACCTCTACACCATTTCTAATCTAACAATCAATTTCTGACTAGCTCACCTTCTGACTGGAAATTCTTGGTCAAGTAACTTTAAAAAGAATAAAGCTGCTTCTTCTTAGTTCCATGTCAGTATCTCCATGACCCTTTCCTTACTCTTTTCTACCATTAAGAGAAGGAAAAATAGGTAAGATAGTTCCCTGTAAACATTCCTCCATGAATGCAGATTTCCTCTTATATGAAGCATACTGTACTACTTATCTATTAAGCTGATTTTGTGCAACAGGATTTGTGCTTCTTTGGAGCATCACGGTTATAGCAATTCTGCTGTTCAAAAAAAAAAACATGAACTCCATCACATATCACTGTGCTTTGCAATACAGTAGCTGCATTACAAATTAAAGATGCTTTGTAGGAGGAAATGCCACAATTCTTCATTAAAGTTTAGTCTGTATTACACATTTCACATCTCAGTCTCCCTATAGTCCTTAGTGGAACATCAATGGAAATTCAGAAGAACAAAGGAATACATGTAACTTCATTTCCTGATACTTTGTGATTCAGCACTGCTGTGTGAGATCGCTTCTGCAATGTCTCCACTAAAAGGGTATCTACTTCTCCTGTTATTCACTCACTCTCCTTTTCGAGTGTCCTGTCTGCTCTCACCTTCAGCTATTTCAAGGAGCATCTTCCCACCTTTATGCCCCTATTTTACTTGTTACAGGTATCACTAGTTAAAGAGTAAATATTTAATAACATACCATCAATGGGCTTCAGAAGAGACATACTATTGAAATTAATAGGCCTCAGGGGTGTTCAGTTTCCCCTGTATTTCAGTCCACTTGCCATGTTTTGTTAGCTTTTGGAAGCTTCTGTCTGTCTGTTAAAGTACTAGGATTTTTCAACTGTTTTTCAACAGTTGTTGAAAGTTTAGATTATTTATATTAGCTGAACCATGCAAACGCATTATATAAGCATAACAAATATGTTTCTAAGGCAAGAGACCACTGCTGTTCTTCCCGATATTCTATTCCGGTCACTAGGGATTAGCTCACCAAGCCTTGATGACAAGCAACTTGTGCCAAACATCTATACAAATTTTCGTAGGCCTGTCTTAGTGTCTACATTAAAAAAGCCTACAATGGAGAAAAGAACATAACATATGTAAGGCACATACTCTCACCAACATATGTACTTTCCCCTAAAAGGTTTCATGTGCTCTCTCACATTCACAGAAGAGAAGGAAAATCAGAAATCCAATCCTTACCTTTCTGCAGACACTTTCAAAGTTAACTTCTTTCCTAAGAGCAAGTCTGGTAACCTGATCTGGCTTTAATTCCTGTGGATGAAAGACACATTTATTCTTCTTACAATGGGACTTGACTAAATCTTCCTAAGATTCACCTTCCTCATAAACGTTATGAGCATAACGATGGCATCCCCTGCTGATTTCTTAAAGGAAGGAAAAACAATTTCTCATACACACATTTTTAAAAATGCAAATACTATGTAAAATCAGTAGATTTTAATTCCAATAAATTAACTTACACTTAAATATTAATTGTATCCAATCTGAGGGCAATGGAGATTTTCCACATCAAAGTACACAAGATGGTGATTTTATTTATAGAAACATTTAAAGTACCCTATAGGTGTGCTAGAAATAAATTTTTGAAGATTATGAAACATCCCACTTATCTTAAATTCTGAAGTAATTTCAGAGCCTACCAACACATGTAAACATAAAGGTATAAGACCATGACACCAAAGGGGGAGGTGGGGGGAAGTAATTCCTCTTTTCTGAAGATATAACACATGCAGAGTTTTCACTCCTGGACTTAAGAATTTCCATTAGCAGCTGAAATAGAGGAATGAAAATCCTCAAATAGAATTCTTTAGAAGATGCACATTTCGATGGAACATGCCCTCACAACAGGTTTTTTCCTTATTTTGAAGCATATTTTGCATTTATATTGTATTACTAAATGCCTTAGTAACCTTATCAAATGAACACACTGAATTTTAGAAATCTAATATTGGCTTTTTCCTGCTAGGGCACTATGTCAAATAAATCATGTTACATACCAGTTGTTTGCCAGATGGCCACTTTAAAAGCAGTTTAACTGTGGTGTTATGCAAGGCCCAAATAACTTCCACACAGTCATACTTCTGAAAAACGAAGATTGACTGAACTTCTCTGTACAAAAATGATAGCTGTCATCCAGACTATATCTTAATGCTGCCAGTTTCAACATCTGAAGACAGCAATCAATATGCTGAATTTCTGAAACACCACAAAAGTGGATGACTTAAGTTTAAATGACAAAAAATAGTAAATTTGCAACATTTGCAGTCAATAAAAAAAGAAAAACCAACTTGGGGATGCGTATGAAAATTACAGTTTGAGAAAGTGAGACAATATGTCTATGTTCGGGCTGCACCTGCAACACTGTGCTCGGATACAGTTGAGACACACTAAATGAAAACCCCTAAAAACAATTACTGTGATTAATGGCTAAGAATAATTAGTGTATTAGCAAAGATTCAACTGTAATTCAAATTATGGGAGACACAATAACTTACAAGTATGTGAAAAATAGTACATTTGGGACTTTCAAGGCTTACTGACTAAAACTATTGTTCTTTTCTCTCAATATTCCTGCTTAACCATCCTTGATAAGTATTCCAACACTTTCATTTGACATCCCACTCAATTTCCCCCCCCCCCACTATGTTGAGTTTCTTTATTCTATCCTTTTTTATCCTAAATCTAGGACAGTCTTTACATTTACATGGTTCCCCCTGAAATTCCATCCAAGTAGTTTATTTCCTTCTAAAGGGTCAACGCCTCTTAAAAATCTTAACTTCCGTTTATTAGATTCTCTATAGAGAGGATGCATCTTACCTAGATCTTTAAGGTATTATGGAAATTGTCTATGTCTTAAAACAATGAGCAAGCATATATGAACAGCAATAACGTAACAGGAAGAAATTAAGAAATTAAAAATTCACTTTCTGTGTCAGAAGAGCTCCTTGACAGTGAGATTTAGTAGTCTGTAAAATCCTCTCCCCAAGGTACTGGTGGAAGCCCAATCACTTGGCGCACGCAAACCAGACTGGAAAAACACCGGTGAATATAGGAAACAATCTTACACTGGCAGATAGACAGACTGGATGACTTAATAAAATCTAGAGATGGAAAAGACCTATGATTCAGTTTTCCATGACTTCTCAAAGTGTTTCACAGATGGCAAATCTAGGACAGACTGGTTAGGTGACATGCTCACAGTCACATAGCTGGCCAGAGGCTAAGAATGAAGTTCTGGAACCCAACGTAGCTAAATCATACTGCTTCTTTATATTAAGGAGGACAATTTTTTGGAGTTGTATCCCAAACAAAACTGTGCCTGTTTTCTGTCCCTTTAGAATTTGAACAGAGAAAGCTGGGGTGGCAGGGGGAAAGGAAGAGGTAAAGGGTGGTAAACATCAGCAAAATCTGTACTAGAACCGCAAGGGTTTAATTTTTCTATGGCACTATTACCTAACTGCCTTAGAACTGCAGAATCATGCCTGGTAATGAATGGAGTAAGAATCACAGTTGGGGAAGCAGAGTCATGAATGTGGCTTCACCGAAATGCTCGCTGCCCAGAATGAGACCATGAGCCTCTTCTTAAAAGCCAAACCCCCGAATTTAAACTATGTCCTTCGCTCCCCTTAGATTTAAGGCAGAGAAAGAATTTTTAGTTTATAGTCTTCAGCAATACCCTGTTCTCGTAAACTTACTAACTTACTGTGCTAAATAGACTTTTCTTCTGTCTCTATTAATGGTAAGCAGTAGACAAGAAAACAGAAAAGGTATATAACGATACTTGCCCAGCATGGTCTTCTCAGCTTCTAGATGCATGCAGCCCAAGAATTCCCGACACAGAGATGGTACCTTTGTATGTAATAACTGTTATGATGTGCTCTTTTACCAGTTATAGTTGCTTTTTAAAAATCAAGTTAATACTTGATGTCACAACACCAGGGGCCCATAAGTTGCCAAGTTCAATGCAGTGTTATGTTCCAAGTGGAGATGGAATAAAAAGGTTAGGAAGAAGTTCAACATGTATGCTACTTTATGAAGCATCTGATCTACAATAATCCCAGATGAGGTAATAAAACACAGATAATACACCCGCTGTCCTTCTCTCCATGAAAAGGATCGCTGACCAATATTTTAAACAACTCCCTGAATACCTAAAAAAGTACCTTAGAAACACGGAAGATGCAGAAATGACTACTGGGATCAACAGATCCTGTCTACATGCTGATCCTGTTTCCTCTTGTAGGGAAGAAATCTAATTCTAGACTCTCAGATATACAGCTGGCACCAGTGTCCTAACTAACAAAGGGAGCCTGATGGATAATGGTTAATAAGGTAGAAGGGAAACAGATCATTTTCTTTTGATTACAGACTGCATCACTCAACTTCTAATATGAAAGCTTTTAAGAGAGAGGGAGATAAGGGAAGAATCTCTGTAGGCTGATGTACACAATATAGCCATGCTATTGAGCTTTTATTTTTTCCTGGTACGTGAGATGACAGCTGCCACAGAGGCAGTGAATATGAAGCTGGAAGGGAGGTTGTGAAGGTGGCAAGGCAGCAGCTGCCCTCTGTATCCCTAGCGGCAGCAGCAGTAACAGTCTGGCTTTCAAAGCTGAGCTGTGTTCACTCAAACAGCTGTTCTGCACTTCCTCCAGGGGAAAATAAGTAAAAAAAATAATAATAATAAAAAAATCAAGCTAAATGGACCTGTCAGCCAGTTGGACCTTGTTAAGGCTGCAGGCAGATTACTAGGCCTTGGCCCGAGGTTAAGCTAAATAAACAGGATATGAAAAACTACTGGACATGACATAACAAAACTGCTGGATGTGACAGATGTGAGAAGCTGACAAGATGGCTAGATTTTATAGATCATTAAGGACAAGTTACATTAGAAACGGATAAACTTCACAGATAACTGAAGAGGAGCATTGGGGAGCTCTTGGGGAAGAAATCTTGCAAAGCCAACAGTACGTAGGTAAACCATATCAGTAACACCACAGAAAGCCAAGGTTACCTATGCAACCATACTGAAATACCAAATTCAGGTATGGGTGCAAGAAAACAGAGCACCGGGAAAAAAATTAGGGATGGGTAAGGACAGGATTGAGGCAGAAAAGAGGGAGAGCCAAGATATAGGGAAAAGGGATAGTAAGGAACGTAATGAAATATTCAAGTGTACCCGTGGGGCAGGCCTGTGCTTTAGAACAGCAGCCTGGTGCAGGACAACCCAGCCTGCTCTTCTGACCACAACATATTGGACCTGCTTCCATGCCTGAGGGGACCAGGGCCTCCCTCTCTTGCTAGCAAGGGAGCACCAAGGACAGACAGACTGAGCATGCCATCATCACCATGTTGGTGCCAGTTGCATGCCTGATGACATCAATATTTTCCTAATGCCATAACCCTGCCAGGCCTCTCCATCTTCCTTTCCAGAGATGTAGTTCTACTGAAGTCAGTTCCAATATCAGAGGCAGAGAATTCACTCTACTACTTACAAAAATTAGGATAATAGCCAGGGTTTGTTTAATTTTTTAAAATATATGAAGTTATATTTAAATAAACTGTAACTGTATTATGTAGGAAAATAAGACTCTATACTGAACAAAAAGTACAAACGTAAACGGCACCTGAAAAGACAGTCTCATATCATCATTGATCATGGCTGCTCAGATTATAGTTTTCAAGAGAAACTGTAAACTACTACTCAGTAGAAGGATGCAGTTTAGCTTAATGGGAATGGAAGTATAACCTATTGAATAGCCTTCAGAAGACAGGACAGAGGAAAAAAAACCTGTCAAATGAGGCTTCGACACATCTCAGAAATGCAAGATTATTCATATAAAATGTGTTCCCAGCTATCCTGTCTAAAGCTATTTTAGACGACTCAGAAGACAGTTTGCCAGTCATGGCCTGTGGAAACAATTTAGGAATCTCAGTCCTCACACTTAAGTTTTACCTTCTCCTCAGCTCAATTTTGTTTTGCCCAGTATTATCCCTTTAACTCTATTTACAACTCAATTCAATCATTATCCTCATTAATTCTTCACATTTGTTAGCTGTCCAAGCGTCGAGCCTTTCCTCATAATCACTCCATCTATATCATCTTTACAAAGCCATTTTTTCTTAAAATGGAAGAATTTCTATAAGAAGATAAAGCAACAAAATCAGAGCATGGACAAATAGAAAATAAAACACCTAGAACTAACATCAAATATTTCAGGTGAAACTTCAACTGCAGTTTGTTAGCCACTAC